AGGTCTGGCGTGGGTAGAGAGGGCAGTAGAGGGATCTGCCAGAAAGGCCAATATTACCTCCGTGCGCTCAGGAGGGTTACAAGTCCTCAGCCAACAGAAGCCAGCCTGGAGTTTCCAAGCTAAGTCCACTAAGCCAACAATGAAAGCCCCATTGCTGGGAATCCGGAGAAGTCAAGAGGTTGACAATGAGGACGTCCTCACTCGTTGCTTATCTTTCCTGGATTCTGGCTCATTCTTCCATTCCCACGTACTTACTCAAGCCATTTCTCTTAAACCTCTCCTCTCAGCTACCCACAGGGTCCATTGCCACCACCGTCTTATAGGCATAACTTTCCCTTTGGTCCTATCTTTTTAACCCCAAATATTTAACCTATTTCTGGGGTCTGTCCCACCCCTGCTTGCCCAGACAGCTGTCCTCTGAATGCATGTGATAGGGCTTGAAGAAGTCCTCAAAAAAATCGTATCAAATATTTCCCATTCTTTTCCCAGGCAATGATAGAATTGGAGTTGGCCATGTGACACGGAGTTAACTATGTGACTTGCTTTGGCCAATAAAATGTGGGTGAAAGTGATGTGTGTAGCTTCTAGGCAGAAGCTTTAAGAGCCAGCACACCATTTGCCAAGTTCTCTTTCCCTCTGCCATACAGCTGGCAACATTCTGACTGACGGATCCTCTGTCAACCTATGTCTTGGAGTGAGGACGATGCAGGGCAGGGCCCCCAGTCTCCCAACAATGGGCATACAGCATGATCAAGAAATAAGACCTTGTTGTTGTAAGCCACTGAAATTTGGAGGTTGTTTGTTACCGCAGCAGCATCTATCCGAGACTGACTAATGCAGGCTAGATCTAGAGAGTGGAGAGGCTATTGGATGAAGCACACAGGCCATAGCTAATGGTTGATGACTGACCTTCCCCTCCAGGATACCATGAGACAGAAGCAGAGCTGGAGGGCCAGGGGAAGCACAGCCTCCACAAGGGGGCCTTTCCATAGTTGTCACTACTCTGGTGGAAAGACTTTAGCCGAGTCAGTGTAGAACATGTGACTGAACATGCCGAGGCTCAGTGTGGCTTCATTTTATCTTACCTCCCCACCAGCAAATGCCAAAGTTCCCCTGACCTCAGGGCCCACCCTCATCATCAACGGGCCTCCTCTCCTGAATTTACAGTTTAGCTGGCTAATCCGTTAAGATCCTAGATCATGATTAAAACTAGCATTGACATTTCTTGCACTATTTGTCTAAGAATCAACCTGTTTCCCTTTCTACCAGTGCCTTCCACCTCTCATGTGGTAGTAAATGTACAAAGTTTTAAACATTCTTGGTCTGTAGTTTTATAAACTTGCGTAGAGAAAGATGCCGAAATCCTAAGTGTACAATTTAGCAAATTATGATGAGGCCAAGACCCCTGTAATTATCAACTCAGTTGGCAAATTCATGCAGGATGCTAAATCAGAACTTCCAACTGAGGCACCGAGGCCCGTAGAGGCTGCATTCCAAAGTGGTGAGCACAAAACCAGTCGCATGACACTCAAAACCAGGACCCACTTGAGGGCAGAGGACTGAGTTGTTGAATGTTAAAGAAGATGTGTCAAGAGCATCTCTTTGGAGAAGACTGAGCTGAGAGTCCCAACACCCCCACCATGAGGGGAGGAGTGGAACTGCTTCCCTCCTTCCCTCAATCAAGAGAGAGGGGCTTCAAAGGGACCGCAGGGAGTTCTTGACATGCGTCCCTTACCAGAAAGGGGGCCCAGTGGACTGGTGTCTGATGCCTGCTCGGGAAATCTTGAGGACAAAGGATCAAATTCCAGTGGGACTGTTCATCAGTGATCCACCCTTAGAAAACCTACCTAGATGAAGGAGTAAGTTTAGCACAGGGGCTGGCACAGGTGGGAAGATCTCTGTCCACCATAGTAAGCCATTATTATAATTATTCTTGCCCTTGGGCTTGAGACTCGACGAATGGGGTAAATTCCTCCTGGAGAAGGCTTCACTGCTTCCAGACTACTTACTGGATAATTCGGGTCTGGGTCTCTGTTCTCGGAGGGCTGTCCATACAAGCACAGCAGGGGCACTGTCTGAGACCTGAAGGGAACGGACCTAATCATCTCTCCCACCACCCATCTCTGCCCCCCACCTCCTTCAATTCCATCATTCACCCTGGGTGAATGGGTATTCCTCTAAGAGCTCCTGTTAACCATAGAAGGGACAGCACAGCAACCTACAGATTGGTTAGCACCCCTGCCACAGCGCTTGGATTGCTCCAGGATGTGGATGTGGGCCATTTTCTTGTGGGCTGCCTGGCATCTCACCACCTTTCTTTCGGGGGGGCTTCCTTACTGTGGGAACCTCCATCAGCCAGCACATGCAGGGGTGGGCTGATGCAAGATTCACCAGCCCACCAGAGCTGATCCTTAAATTCTCGAGAATCTTTTGAGCTAGGTGTTGACTGATTGGCAGATAAAAATTGGCCATGGTGGGACTGTTTACACCATAGAAGTCAGCAGATTGCCAGAGATGAGAGGTTTTCCACTGGAGAACATGTTGTTAAACGGTTATCAGCACACGGCCAGGCACAGCACTTCAGTTGAGCCAAGTGATGCCATCTGAGGCTTTGAATCTCAAGCAAGTGATGCAAGACAAAGGGACGAGACAGAACCCATTTACTGCAGCGGCATCGGGCCGGAGCAGTGGGTGGCAGAGCCTAGGGGCGCCCTGGCATGATCTTGGCTGGGTCTTCCTTCTGCCTGATTTCCTTCATGTCTACCCACCTTCCAAACCTCCTTCTCCTGCCTTCTCATGAATTCTGAGAGCTACCCTTTCCTGCTAAGTTAACCAGAGCCAGTTCCTCCTGAGGGTCTGGATACAGATGATTCCACATCGGTGGGCAGAGGTCCCCAAGCAAGGAGAAGCAGATCTCATTTTGATTTCTCAAGGGGAAGGGCTGCTCGGGGCAGAGCAGCCCTGGGCTCATTCAGTTAGCAAACATTTATAGAGCACCTACTGTGTGCCAAGCAGCAGATATCAAACAACTAACTATGCCATTAATTCTACTGTGGATCGTTCCCCCCTCATGAGTTCAGAGCAATCTATTGATAAATATTTGAGCCCTGCAATGGGTAAAAGGCTGGGCAAGGTACGCAGGGATATACTGACAAAAGTTAAACAATCCGGACCTCCTCTCCTGAATTTACAGTTTAGCTGGCGACATAGGTATGTGCTCACGTAGCTGAGTATCTGTCTGGACACGAGTTCTTACTCGTGAGGATCGTGCGGAGCTGTAACTTTCAACCTGAGGGATCCAGGAAGCCTTTCGGAAGAGAGTGGGCTGCAGCGCAGCCTTGATAGTGGTCTCACGTGTGTGTGTATAATATACACACATGAATATGTGTATCTGTATATCAAGAAGTGTTATTTCCTTTATGCCATTTCTTTTTTTCTTAAAGTAAAATAGCTGTTTTATTAGGAAATAATATACATTCACTTCCAGAAAGGGTTCAACAGCACAGAAAACATACCTGTGAAATCAGCCCCCTGCGATCCTACCCACCAAGTGACCGCAGTTAGCACGGCCAGGAGAGCCTTTCTGCACAGCTGCGCGATCCTCTTATGCACGCTGGTGTGTAAGCAGCTGTTTTCACTCAACAATATGTCATGGACATTTCTCCATGCCAATTATTCCCAATCTACATTACCATTTAAGTGGCTGGAGAGTATTGCATTATACGGATGTACTCTAAATTAATCAAATCCCCATTGATAAACATTTAGTGTTGCGGTCAAGGGCACAGACTCTGGAGCCCCACAGTCCAAGCATAAATCCTGGCTCTACCACTCCCAGGCTGGGTGCTCTTGAGTGGAAACCTAACCTCTGAGCGCAGATTCCTCCTCTATAAAATAGGGGTATTAGTAATACCCACTGCACGGGGACGTTGTGAGTAGATATTTGTAAGACATTTATAACAGTTTCTAGCGCATAGTAGATGCTCAGTGAAGGCCAACTGTTGCTGCTGTCATCAGCAGGGCTGTGACCATCATCTGAATACATGCTCCTCATTACCTGCCTAGGATACAACTTGGAAGTGGAATGAAATAGGCAAACGGCAAACATTTAAAATCCTGATAAACATCTTCCAATTGCCCTCCAGAAACGTACCCATCATCAGTGGGCAGGACCTGCGTTTGGGAGGAGGCAGTGAGAAGGGGCAGCCATTGCCTTCCGGCCCCGGGCCCCCGGAGACCTTCGCAAGAGGTCCGCAGACCAGCCAGTGAGGTCTCCTGACTTGCCCAGCCTTCTGGGTGGCATTCTGCAATAAAAACCAGTAGGGAAATTAACAGCGAGTCAGGTCAGACTCTCTCACTTTGATTTCTAGGAGGAAAACTAGAGTTGAGGCCATATTCGAAAATATAGGTCAAATCTCGGTTTCTGTGGTTACCAAACACTGTCAATCACCAGTGACTCCCTCCCTCGGGGGTGATGCCAGGGTCCCGAGGCCTGGCAGCCGGGCCTGGCTCCCCTTGGTCTGCAACCCCCGCCCCGCTGCCCCGCGGACCCGGGGGTCTGCAGTGAGCGCCGCAAGAGGGCGGGGCCCGCGGACCCCTGACCGTCACTTCTCGGGGGGAGGGGGGCTTGCGCTGCCGCCGATGGGGCCCTGGGGGACCCCGGACGGCGGTCCTTGCACTCGCCCGCCCGGCTCCCCGCGTCCGCGCTGCAGGGAGCGCCCCGCCTGGGCACGGCCGTGCCCGCCCGGAGGAGGGAGGAGGCCGGCGGCCGCGGGAACAATGTGGTCGGTTGTTTTGCCGACTGTCAGCCTGGTTCCCGGATCCTCCTTTCCACGCCCCTTGGCCTAACCGCCACAGGCCCGGCACGCAGAGGGAAGAGCCCCCTTATTTGGTCTTGGAAAGAAAGGGGAAAGGTTATCCTCAGATGCCTGCGGCGTTGGGTCATCGGCCCGCAGCGCTTGGCCCGCGCCCGGGCGCAGCGCCGTCTCCCGCCGGTAGGTGGCGGCGCCGGGCAGCGCCTCGCCGGCCGCCCGAGTGGTAAACAAGCCCGCAGGTTCCGGTACCTCCGCTCCGGGCTTCTTTTGTGTGCGCGCCGTGAGGGAGGGGCGGGAGGGCCGGCCGGGGGAGGCAGAAGCGCGCGAAAAGAAAAAACAAAGCCTTTTATATGGGAGAGACAAGCTTTCAAAATCGGAAAGTCGGCTTCAGCGCGAGGGCGTGACTTTGCCGTGTCGGTTTCGTGTGAACCGTTTGCGAGCGCACGAGGGGATGCGGGCATCCGTGTTACGGTCAGCCGGGCAGTTGGGGTGCAAATTCCGTGAGGAACATTAATAAGACGCTATGTGAGGATTAGAACCTGCTTGGGGGTTTCCTTTCCTTCCTACCCCCACCCTCTCCTTTCTTCTCTCACTGCCTCCTTCCCCCTCCCTCCCTTTGCCAGCCTCTCAGGTGAGCTGGCGAGGTGCAGCGAGCCACCTGCCTTCTCTTGGCCAGAGCGGGATGGAAGCGGAGGTCCCTAAGCCCTGCCTACGTGCAGGCCGGCCCTTCCTCACCCGGATTGCTGATCCTCACACCACACCAGGATGACAGGAATTACCCTCGCCGTTTGACCCGGAGCTCGGAGAGGCTGAGGGCACACGGACAGGAAGTGGCAAAGCTGGGATTTGAATCCAAGTCCTTCACAGTTCGCAGGCAAGGCTTGACCCCAAATTAGCAGTTTATTACCTCGCCAATAACTCCTCCATTAAATAAAGCTCTTGTAATATGTACCATTCTCCAACGATCTTTAAAAAGAACCAAAACGTTTGCGATTTGAATTTCTGCAGCAGAACAAAGCAAAGCCACTCCCGTGTCAGGTGAATTTGATGGGCAAACCTGCGCCTCTCAGGTGGGAAGCGGAGTCAGGGGGCTTGAGCTTCTGCTTTTACTGCCTCCGGAGCTTATGTACTTCTCCAGAGAGGCTCTGGGACAGCATCCTGCCGAGGTCCTCGCTGCTCCACAGAGGGCTCCGAAGAGGGGCCTGCCAGGCGCCAGGCTGTGGCTAACTTTTACTTTCTATTTTAGGCAAGTTGCGGGCAGCCCTTTTGTTTGGCTGGGAGTCCAACACGCTCCTCTGCTCCTTCCCATTGTTCCATCTGCCCCCTGAGGGGGGCGAGGGCCAATAATTTTCACTCAAAAGATCTGTTTCGGGTTTCTTCATCTGGAAAGAAATTAATTTTCCAAGCCACACAATTATAGACAACTTTTTAAAGAGTTACTGGAATGACAGTTTCATGCTTAAACAGCGCCAGTTTTTCTTTTACAAAAACAAAGTTTGTGTGAACAAAATTAAATCCAAGAAATGTGGTTTTTCTCTATCTCTTTTTCATTAAATAGTAGGAAAAAAAAAAGCAGCTTCTACCAGTTTTGGGGGATTTCCAGGTTTCCAAGAATTTACTTAGCTTTCTACATAGTATGTTTCTGTGGAAAAATTACAGCAAGAATAGCCTGTAGATCATTACTTTCCAGTCATTGTTTTCTTGGTTCCCAGCTTCGGGGAGAACCAGCACTGTCTGGGTTTGCCTGACCTTCCAGAGCCCAGGTGCCCATCACAGGAACCAGAGCGAGTCCTTGGCAAGATCAGGAATGTGGCAGCTGTGGCTGCTGCCTTGTCCCTTCCCAGATGTGCCAGCAAACAGGGCAGAGGTGTCCTCTAAGCCCTCATGCCGCACTTCCTCCTGAAGCTCTCCCCACCGTAAAACCGTCCCCAAATCTTGATTCGGTTCCATTCAGTTGCCTGGATTCCACCCTCTGTTTATGCCTTCAGGTGGATGGAGCCCAAGGAACGTCACACCGTGCCACCATCATCTCAGGGACTGCCCTGTTTGGAGGGCAGCAGCACCCAGCCATCCAGCGTGGATTGAGGAACAGAGCTGTGCATCCTTGGCCGTGCTCTGTAACCTCTGTGCTCCAGCTGTTGTCAGGAGTTAATGATTTGTTCGGGTGTGAAGGACTTAACACAGTGTCTGGCCCATGAGGAGCACAGTAGGGACACCTCCCAGGATTGTTGGGAGGATTAAATGAAATAATGCCTGTAAATCCCTCAACCCTGGGCCTGGCACCCAGAAAGGGTTCAATAAACGTCTGGTGAGCACTATAATCGGCTACCTCTTTTTGAGTGTCAGCTATATGCTACAAACTGTTTAAGGCTCTTTACATACGCGCTTGAATCCTTATGGAAAACCTAGGATGTAGATAAAATTATTCCAGTACAGGGACTTTGGAATTAGGTGAGTTAAGTAAAATTACCCGAGGTCACACAGCTAGTATGTGGCAGCCCCAAGATCTGGCTGGCTCCAACGTGTGTGCCCTTTTGATTATGGGCAGCCTGGGAGGAAAGAAGAAATTATAAACAGTCCTATGTGGTGGGCTGAAGGGTCTTCATGGGAGAGGGGGTCATAACTGCCTCCTCATTATGAATAACTTGCTATTATCCCTGTGTCTTTGGGGTGGCTCTGGAAGACAGTGACATAAGGCTGATTACATATGCAGATATAAGAACCAGTGGACTACAGCCACCTTTGGGTCTCCTGACTGTTGTCTGCCTAAATTCCAAAAGCCTCCTGGGGCCCTTTCAAGCCCAGGCTAGAGATGGCTCTATGTACTGGTTAGGATTCTTTCTGTTTTTGCAAAAGTCAGAAACTCTACTCAAACTGGTTTAAGCGAAAAAGAGGTATAATAAGCTCATGCAACTGATAATGGAAAGGTATGGCTTCAGGCATAGCTTGATCCAGGAGTTTCAACAATATTATCTGGACTTAGCCTTATCCACAGCTCAGCTCTAGTTTCCTCCAGATCGGCTTTATTCTCAGATCGGCTCTCTCACTGACGCTTTTTGGCCCTCATTGGCCAGGCCTAGGAAAACTTGAGTCCTTAAAAGAAAAATCATGGTTCTCTTGTTAAAAGAGGCTAGGGATGCTAAGCAGGCAAGAACAACGGATGCCCACTCCACCCTGCTGATATAACACCATCAATCAGGAAGATGGAGAGAAAAGACTTTAATTGTGAATATTTCTGCCACGAAGGACGCTCATAAGTCAAGCAGGCAGTGGAGGAGTAACTAGAACTGTTTCCCATTACACAGGGGACCCAACATCCTCCTGTTTCAAGCTAGGTGAGATGATTCTAAATGATGGAGTCAAACCTTATGGCATAAGGATGTGTCTTAAGCATAAAAATGCCTTAACAATATATATACAAATATGTGTAAAAGTATATATATGTACGTATATGCTATTATAATATAATGATATATAAATTAATGTAAAAATCCAATAAGGTCCTACTGAACTGACTGAACTAAAGATCCCTATAGACCCTTAACGGGAGTCACCACACACACAACTGTCAATAAAACATTACCAGTCTACACTGAGGGTGGATGCTGGGCTGTTGACTCTGTTTGGTCACAAGCTGCATGATGATTTGTTCCTCACCCCAACTGGGCACAATTGAAACTGGTGCCTGAGCAAATTGGCAGATTACTAGATGTCATGGACTTTTGGTCACTTCTCGAACAGTCAAGCTTGAGAATGTTCACTGGACAGGTTCCAAGGTGCTGCGTTCCTGTGTTAATTGTGCCCCAAGCTGGGGCCGAGACCCCTGAGGCATGTCCCATGTTCAGGACCAAGGGTGCAGTTGGGCACCCAAGAACTGGGTTGAGAAGTGGGTGAGCTTCCCACCTTTTGCCTGGGGTGAGTCTCCCAGCATTCAGTGCTTCCCTCGGGGCCTTTGCCCACTCCCCCTCCTGCATTGTTCCCTGTCACTTGGGTGGAGACTCTGGGCCCCATTCAGAGCAGAGCACTCATGGTGAAACTGCCCTCGATGTCAATAAAGGGTGTCCATTCTTCCAAGAATACTTCAGTGTCATGTCCCACCACGTGAGCAGGGAGCAGGTAAAAACCAACAGCAACAGGTGCCTGCATCTCCAGAAGCATCTGCCCTCCTCCCATTTGTCTCTCCTGACTCTCTGGCTCTGGGCATTGTCAATTTGCTCCTCAGGTGCCCCTGCTGTTCTGAGGACGGTGACAGTGGCTGCCAGCTATTGAACATTCACTATATACTAAGTTCTTTCACACATGGTTTCACTTCCTCCTCTAACAGCGCAGGAGGCCAGAATTAGCAGCTTCATTTTTTTTTTTTTTTTTTTGAGGAAGATTAGCCCTGAGCTAACATCTGCTGCCAATCCCCCTCTTTTTGCTGAGGAAGACTGGCCCTGAGCTCACATCCATGCCCATCTTCCTCTACTTTATATGTGGGACACCTACCACAGCATGGCTTGGCAAGCGGTGCCATCTCCACACCCTGGATCTGAAACAGCGAACCCTGGGCCACCAAAGTGGAATGTGCAAACTTAACCACTGCGCCACCGGGCCGGCCCCAGCAGCTTCATTTTATCCAGAGGGAGTTGGGCTGAAAGAGGTTCTGTTGTCACTCTCCACACGTCACACAGAGAGGAAGTGGATGAGACCAGATTTAGTCCCTGGCTCAAGTAATTCATCTTTTCACTTATCAACTTGTTATTGAGAATTTCCCAGGTGCCAGGCAGGGTGCTGGGGCTGTGAATTCCATGAGATGCAAAAGAGACCGGACTTGGCCCTTGGCGAGTTTAGAATCTATTAGAGAGAAAGACATTGATAGAGCAGTCATATAGCATATTACTTCAAATTATGTGTCATGTGGGGCTCGAAGTGTTTTGGCTGAGTGCTCCCATCAGGAAAGTATTTTGAGAATATATCCTCAATGTCCGCATATGTGGATGTTTGTTTATTCAAACGTATATCGTGTTCTACCATAATAATAATAGCTATGCCTACAACGAACCATCACAAAATAGACTTTTAAAAGGATGAGCAATAGATGGAACAAGCCTAAGTTAATTTTTACTTTATTAACAATACAAAAATTTTTATCACTAAAATATTAATTATTAATATTTTTAGGGCAATGTGATTGAAAATACTTCGTTGTTTTATTGGTTTACCATTCTGTAATGTTGTAATGTGAAGGCCTGGTTCTAAATTTAGTTTACTTGCATACTTGGTTTTCCTAACTGTTGAGCTGTACAAGATAATTTTAAAGGATGTCTGGTTCCACGTGGCAGACAGGTATCCTTGGCCATTGGGAATCATGACTTCCATTTTTCAGTCCCACTTATCAATTGATCAAGAAATTCTTAACGAAATGGGGTTAGTAATTCTATATATCCTTTGATGTTATTTGGTTATTCTTGAAACTGAACTAGAAAATACGGTAGTTTTATATTGTTTTAATTGTGATAAAATACACATAACATGAAATTCACCATTTAACCATTTTTAAGTATATTATTTTGCAACCAATCTCCAGAACTTCTTCATCTTGCAAAACTGAAAGCCTATATTCACTAAACAATGCAGTTTTATATTTTTAATTATTTGGCAATAAATCCAATTAAATATTTCATTTGGAAAGTAAACATTTTGTTTCTAAGTTTTAAAATATGTATCTAGAGGAGTTTATTGTGACCACACGTATCATTTTTTTGTAGCAAAATCAAAATCGCAACATGTTGGAAACATTTGAAAACACCTGTTTCCAAATGATCTCTCTGTAGCATGTTTCTTTCAAAAAAGCAGTCAATTCTACTTCATTGTTCCAAGCCACGTTTACTTGAAGGTACAGATAAAATCTGTTTCTTTCTGCAATTTTACTATACATACCTATATTATTGAAAGCAACTTGTCATC